AAAAAAGTCGTAGCATTCCTTATTCATACAGTCCTGTCATTCTGGCCAGAAAGGAAGGCACATAACTCATAAGTGATTGCCAAGGGGGGAGACAAGAAAAATGATAAAAAGTGAGAATGATAAAAATAAACAGGGTGTATGGGACGGATCAGACTGTCGATCCCTACAGCCAGAAAGAATGCATGCCCTTGTGGTGTGATGATCCCAGTTGAGAGGAATGTTAAGAAAATACCTTGTCCCCAGTGCCACGGAGTTTGCTCTTTCCCTTGCTCAGTAAACCTTTCCCTGCCTTACCAGCTGCAAGCAATAGCCCCTTGCCCTTTGCCCCAACTTGTCCGCTCGAATGCTTAAAATCGCTTGAAGGCGAGTGGGACGAACTTGCGGGTACGCTGCTTGCGGGAGGGCGACCTGGGGCTCCCGCACTCAGATTAGGGTTGCTCGCGTTGAGGTACTGCTGGTAGTAAGGCTGCTGAGAGGGCGGCTGAGAGGTGGTCGGCGAGGGCTGGGGTTGTCCCGGACCTGTCCCACCGATTCCGAATGAAGCAGTGGCATTGGCATGCTCCGGATGCTGAGATTTCAAGGTGACCAGCCAGTTATTGAGCCCAGAGTCCATTGACGCAAACTGTGCTCGCGTTTCGTTATACTTATTGATCCTCTCTGTAGGGCTTGCTAGCTCCATGATTTCTTTAAACGTCGTAATCTTGACTGGCTGCGCTGGCTGCTGTTGCAAAGGAACAGGAGATGTAGGTGGAGAGAGGCTCTCCAAAGGCTGGGCCTGAGCCGGAGCCAAGGCCGGGTGATCGGCGGGCGGGGTGCTGGGGAAACCGGGGTCAGATGCAACCTGGGCCATTGACCTTTCGTCCACGGGAGACGGCGGGCGGGCTGGTGCAGTCGATGTAGTGTTCTTATCAGTCGATGCTGACAGTGGCGACAGTGGTTCGGTCGCCTCGGTGTCCATGCCGTCTCTCGGCGCAGAACTAACCTGCGACACTTGATGAGACATGGCGCCTGAGTCTTGCGATACACTAGTAGGCGCATCGTCCAACGCTGCAGGCGACTGCGTATGTTCCGCTTCTCTAGCCAGTTCGGACAGCGCAACTTGCGCCTCATGGTGGGGTTGTTCAGAAGAAGAGGCGTCTATAGCTGTAGAAGCGCTTGGGATCACGGCCTCGGGGAGGGGATCAGTTTGGGCGTCCGAAGGCTTTGGTGTGACCTGTTCCGATCCTGCCTCCCAGGAAAACCGTCGACTAAGAGATGGTGATCTGTCCGAAGCGTCCTTGCGAGGGCTCAGAGGGGAAACATTAGAGATGCCTTGGTCGGCAGCCAGCCCGCGTTCGGGCTTCGGCTGCTTTGATGGTAATTCAGACATGTCGGGCTTGTCGTCACCCGCAGCCCAGTAGTCTTCGTATACGCCGTGCAGGTAGCTGCTCTCGCGGGTGCCACTGCCATCAATAGCCGGGCTTAGTCGCTGGCTGCTGTTGCGAGTGCTGAACTGGTTTGAGTCAGGAGTAGGACGGACTGGACTCAGGCTGCGCATGATCTCCTCCCGCAACTTGTCGCTCTCCTTGACAGGGGAGGGTTCTGTAGTCGTGCTCATGGTGGACTCGCGCTGTAATTTCTCGGGCGCCTCGAAGTCCGATGACGAGGTGCCTGATTCACGAGAGTTTGACGGAGCTGAAATGGTCAAGTCGGCATCCCAGTCGGAACGGTTTTGACTCTGATCGGTCCGCTTCGAAGCCTCGGGAACCGAGGCAGGTATAGATACACTATCCTTCAACATGGCAATACCGCTCTCTCCAGTCCTTTCATCTTCGTTGTCGGTGATGGGAGACACTTCGCCAGAAACCAAGCAGAGCACCGGGTTTTGCTCCGGAGCGACAGGGGTCTGCTGGTCAGGAATGGAACGCGTTTCGGTGACCCAGCCTCCGGGAATAGGTGGCCGCGATGACTGCGATGGCAGACGAGATCTGCTTGATTCCGCAAGTTCGTTGACTGGTGGGGTCTGTGATGGCGAAGGTGACGTGGAAGTGATTGAATGCGGAGTGGAGTCAGAAGTTGAAAGCGGAGATGTCACCAATGGTTTATTCATGGATGGCATGTTCTCTGCTGCGGAGGCAGCCTCGGCATGTTGCTTTGTAGATGGTAAAGCCGGCACCGGGGGCGCTTCGTTGGCTAATCTTGATGGATTGGTGAAAAAATCGTCTCCGAAGAGAGACATACGGGCGAGATCTGGCAGCCTAGGGCTGGTAGAATAACGCCGGTTCTGGTCAGATTCCTCAGCGGTCGGGTGCTGCAGCTGCAGTTCAGGAACAACCAGACTGCTCTCGTGAACACTCCCCGAAGGACTCAGGTGGCCTGGTTCTAGGTTCTGGAGCCGGGATTGTGCAAGAATGCCATCAAATCCATACTCGCTCTTCCTCTCCGCGACCGGTGCCAGAATAGGTTGTCGTGTGTCATCGGCACCAGGAATACCTTGGCCTTCGCCCTTGTTCAAGCTACCGCGTGCCGTGTGCAGATCACCAGCTTCAACGTTAGGGGTGAATGAGTCTGCAGGCGAAACTACAGGGTTGCTTCTAGGGACGCCGTCACTTCCCCTACTAGGCCTTCCGTTTTCCCCAGAACCCCTCTCATTATTGTCTTCGTCCATCCGGCGATAAATGTCCGATGGTCGGATGAAGGGCGGCGATTTCGGGTTCGACAGCGTGCCAGGCGACCTGATGTTGGAGGGGGATGCCGGCCGTTGATCGACCCAGGGACGTTGCGTCGAGCTCGACCGAGAACCCGACGTTTGATGGTTACGATCTTGCTGCCCCATGCTGCTGTTACGAGGGGGGAAACGGGTAGCCGGAGGCTGCGCCGGGGCTGGCGAGGTCCGCCGGCTTCCCAAAGAAGGGGACGGAGTGCGGTGGGAATACTCTGCGCGGCCATTGAACGATACCAGCGGGGCCACCTGAGGTGCACCACCGCTCACAAAGTGCGGCGACGCGAACGGCTCATTTTTTTCGGAAGTACTGGGCATGGAAGCTGTTCCAGAGGTATTGGGAGGCGGCTTTGCAGAGTTTTGAATCTGCAGAGGTGGAAGGCCGACAGTAGATCGCGGGCTAGATGATAGCCCAGACTGGTCAGTAGTCGGTTGCGGCAGTCGCATCGAAGACACATGCGCGGGCTCGACAAGTTGAGGCGCGGGTGACTGGTTTGACGTAGGAATATTCGCCATTGTCGACTGGTTGACCGATCGTGGCCCCATCGGTCGCAGAGGTGGAACAGTCGCAGTGTCCTCGGGCTCATCGTCGTAATCGTTTCCCCATTCATCGCCGTCGTAGTTTTGAGTCTTTGCTTCAACCCATTTCTTGGTTTTTGTTCTCTTCACATTTGTCTTGTAAGCACTCGTCGGCGTCTCCGGGCTTCTGCGGGAAGTAAAGCACGATTAGCATCCATAGAAGGAGATGGGCGCGACACGATGTGGCATGTGGGAGCTTGTGGCTAGGGGAGGAGCACTCACAGCGACGAGCTGGTATGCTGAGGGGCCCCGAAGCCATAATTGTACGAAGAGCCGTCCATCGCGTCGGACTCGTCTACTCGATCATTTCTCACTCGATATGGCTACGACTGCAGGTGTTTGAAGCTCAGCGACGGCTCGGAGGGTGGTATGATGAGGCGCGTAGGTTGATGGTTCGATGGATCGGACAGATGGAGGACGGGGAAAGCCGGTGCCAAACTCGAACGTGCGGATTACAGATTGGAAGCAAAACGCAGGGATCTTCAACTGGAAACAGCAAGAAGGGCAACGGAAAACAGTTAGACGCACGCTCTCCAAGGGCGCAGCCTTCAGACACAGGACAGAACGGGATGGGGCTGGGCTGGTGGTGTAGGTCGCCAGTCTATCCGAGCCATGACAATTGCTGGAGGCGAAGACGGGACGATGGACAGGTAATTTGGGGGCTAGAGTGGATGGGCGTTGCTTGGGCCAGCCGCGCAAGGTCATGGAGGGAGGGTACATGCGCTCTCGCCTTTGACGACACGGGGCCCATACGCTCACTGGGTAGTGCTAGAGTGCTTACCCCGTTGGAATTGCTTGTGTTGCTGCCTGTGCAGCGGTACGGGAACTCGATGGCCTCTCGTCAGGCATTGCCGGAAAATCCTGGTTGCTTTGGCACACCGAGTTCACTCTACAGCGCTTACAGTCTTACTTGACCACCCCTGAAGGAACGATATGTTGAAGACTATCCAATAGTATATGCGTGTAGTGAAAGAGGAGATGGATGGAGCCAGGTTGTTTTCCAGCGAAAACTCAAGAACACTAGTCTGCCGGACTGTGCCATACCTCATTAGGCGCCTGTGGGTAGGTAGGTACCTAGCTGTACATGTAGTGCATTCCTATGGAGAGGACCACCGGGAGGCAACAAGACGACGCTATGATGTCGCAGAAACACGACAACGGCAGACCGAAGGTAACAGTTGTCTGGTACTGGCTCACAGACGGCATCCCGCCAAATCTCTTGAATGGGAATGCAGTGGAATGCGACAACATCGCCTCATCGAAATGCATGCGCAAACAGTTTATTTCGACTACGGCTAGAACCTCGACCGAAATCAAAGGCGAAGGGTTTGTTTGTGTCCGACAGCCGGTTTGCCGTTTATCTAGTCTTTCTTATCGTCGAAGCCGATGCTCTTGGGTGTTTCTTTGGGATTGGCTACTGAACAATGTGTTCCCCTTCATCAAGAGCCGCTAGCTAGTGGCTGAGAAAGCCTTGCTCAATAAACGTGTTCGTTTACGTACAGCGAGCGATACTTAGGTAAGTAGGTAGGTAGGTAGATACCTAGCACTGTCTATGTATCTGGTGGGTTGGTACCCACTTAGACGACCGAGTACTTAGAGACATGTTTTGATGGAGGTACCTAGGGAGATGGGTACTTAGCAGCACCAGCCACATGTCCAAAGGTCTGCAATTAATTAGTAGGCGACGGTGGATTGGATCGGACACCCTGGCCCCGTCATCCCGACAGAAGAACACTGGGCTGAATGCTCTGGACCTACCTGGATCTCTCGACAACGACACTCATTTGCCTTGTCGAGGGACGTTGCTAGGAAAGACTCCCTGTATTCTACAAACTACAGGCACCTCGACATCTCCATATCGCCTTTAGACCTCGTTGTATCGTCAGACTTCCACGACTGCGCGCATTGTACAATAACCTTCTGTTCTTAACCGCAACCTGCTCGCGCCCTATTGAACGCGTCGTCGACTTGATACAGTTAATTCCCCATCCCTTTACCATCCATCTCTGCGATTGAGCTATTGCTACAACAATTCTTTCGCAAGTACAAAGCCCCTCGACAAACAAATCCAACGCGCTGGCCGCCTCCCCTCGAGATCCCGTTCTCACTCGAGCCGCTGCATAACCGATTTTCATAATGGCGGTTGCATCGATACAGGACCGAACTGCCGAGTTCAAATCGGTCCTCGCGCAAGCACAACGTCGCCAGGCCTCGACTAAGGTCGGCGCTCAACGGCGGTCTCTCCTTACCGACTCTCAGAAGGCCGCCGCCGATGGCGAATCCCGACCGCGGCGCTCTGACTTTGCGCGCCAGGCGGCGCAGATTGGAAGAGGAATTTCGGCCACGATGAGCAAGCTCGAGAAGCTGGCAACACGTATGCGTTCAGAGACTTCAACTCAACAACAAATACGGCACCGGTACTGACGGTCTTTTAACAGTGGCAAGACGCAGAACTTTATTCGACGACCGGCCGGTCGAGATCAATGAGCTCACGTACATTATCAAGCAAGACCTGAGTGCTCTTAATCAACAAATCGGAAATCTACAAGTTTTGACGAAGCAGCAGCATCCGAAGGCTGATCAAGAGGGAGAGCACAACAAAAACGTTGTCTTCATGCTCCAGGGCAAGCTGACGGACGTCTCGGCTAACTTTAAGGATGTCTTGGAGGAGCGAACCAAGAACATCCAGGCCTCGAGGTCGAGGACAGACAACGTGAGCTCCCACCCTGACTCTTGCCGCGGCAAAAGAAGTATATGTACTGATGCGAAGCTTCGCAGTTCATCTCCAGTGTCTCTCAACACACACAACCGCCATTGCAGCAATCGGCATCGCCCTTGTACGGAACTCCGCACAGAGGAACGCCATCACCGGGCGCTGACCTTCTCTCGTTGAATCCTCCAGGGGATCAGCAACTTCTACTCATGGAAGAGGCGCAACCACAAAACACGTATATTCAAGAGAGAGGCGCGGCGATTGAAAGCATCGAATCAACAATTGCCGAGCTGGGATCTGTAAGTTTTAGCGTGTAATTGTCTCCGTCTCGAGCAAGCTGGACTCATAGACGCACGCAGATCTTCGGACAATTGGCGACCATGGTGTCAGAGCAGAGTGAGATGATCCAGCGAATTGACGCAAACACGGAGGATGTCGTCGACAACGTGCAAGGGGCGCAGAGAGGTAGGTTTCTCAGGCCTGGGCGAAGAATATATCAATGATATTGTGTCTGACCGTTTGGTTGCAGAGTTGCTCAAGTACTGGGGGCGTGTCTCGAGCAACAGATGGCTCATCGCCGTAAGTTGCCACACGCGACGTCGCGCGCCTGCGGGCGGTGGTGATCTATTCAGTGGTCTACATTTACTGACAGGTTGAGCAGAAAATGTTCGGTGTACTTATGATCTTCTTTCTGTATGTTACCCGTTGGCCTCGCCCCCAGATCAAGGTCCCTTATTGACTCGTTGCACAGGCTTTGGGTCCTTATCGCAGGTTAAGATTAGACGAGCATTGGCGTGGGTATAATCATGAGAATGATGAGCGGTGGATTGGGGAATCGAGACCAAGACGGACACTGGTGTTGGTTTGTGTAATACCAGTACTGTTCCGCTGTACCATGATATTGATGCTGGGACGCGAGCGTGACACAGCGATAAAGCTTCTCTCTTGCATATACTTAGATCTATTAATCATCAAAGAGGTTAACTTTGGCTCAAGCCCTGGCGCTGGCGCCGCTACAGAGTGTTGTAATTGCCTGTGGTTCGGGTCCAATTGTGGGTGATGCTAACGGGAAGAAAGGAGGGGGGGGATGTGACGTGATATTGCAGTTCCATTCAATCCTGAACTGTTCACAGCTCAAGGGCCCCTCTCCCAGGACTCAAGGCCTCTCCACCGTCATGACTCGGCCCAACAATTTCCGAGAGCGGTTCCGGTGACTAGAGAATTATCCATGAATGGAGCAGGTTGACAGTCTGCCCCACCGAAGAGGGGCGTATCCTCTTTTTCTCCATACGCTACACTACGCTATTTCAGCGCGTCAAAATGGCAACCTGGGGATATCCACACAAAGGGGCATGGAAGCTGAGGTCGAAGACAAGCCTACTTAGCATCTGCTATGAATTGTATCTATTGAGACTATCAAGGGCTTGCCACATAGTGGTCAGCCTGGCATCTAAAAAGACATTGAGGATGGTGACGGTTGAAGAAGACGGGAAGGTCTCAGCGAGAGGGACGGGGTTCTCAACCCAGCTCTTGATCTAATTAATGCATTAACCCCGATGGCCTTGCCCGATTGCTTTCTGGCCTTGCTTCTTTATTTTTTATCTGTCGGTAGTATATATCCCGACATCCCACACCCTCTTTGTATCTTGCTCAGAGAGACGTTACCCTTCGCTCCCCCTCTTGCATTGGCTTCTTGTTTTCAAACTGCCTACTTCTTCCTCCTCTTCAGAACATTCAGAACAAGACTCAAATTACCCCGCCCCCGCTTCCGGCCCCGTACATTGCAACGTGCTCAAGATGGCGTCTCAAACCTTCAAGCTGAACTCGGGATACGAGATCCCCGCCGTTGCTCTTGGTATGCTTCTCTGCCTCCTCACACACATAAGGTATCTCATTGACTCCTGTCCCTCATAGGCACATGGCAGTCCGCCCCCGGCGAAGTCCAGAACGCCGTCTCCTACGCCCTAAAGATCGGCTACAAGGCCATTGACGGCGCCTACTGCTATGCCAATGAGGATGAAGTCGGCGAAGGTCTCAAGCAAGCCTTTGCCGACGGCGTCAAGCGCGAGGACATCTTCGTCGTCACCAAGCTCTGGGCCACCTACACGATTGGCGATGACAGGGTCAAGGAGGGCCTGGAGAAGAGCTTGAAGAGCCTGGGCCTCGACTACATTGACCTTTTCCTTGTTGTACGTTCCCTCTGCCTCAGCCGCCGACTCACATGACGGATCATGACCGGATATGAGCTCACAATCAAACAGCACTGGCCCATTGCCATGAACCCCAACGGCAACCACGACAGATTTCCCACCAAGCCCGACGGCTCCCGCGACATCATCCGGAGCCACTCGCATGTTGACATCTGGAAGTCGGTCGAGAAACTCCTCGATACGGGCAAGGTCCGCTCCATCGGCGTCTGCAACTACAGCGTGAGGTACCTCGAGGAGCTCCTCCCCCAGGCCAAGGTCGTCCCTGCCGTCAACCAGATCGAGAACCACCCCAGTCTGCCCCAGCAAGAGATTGTCGACTTCTGCAAAGACAAGGGCATTCACATCATGGCGTATAGCCCCCTCGGATCGACCGGCGGCCCCCTCCTAACCGCCGACCCTGTCGTCAAGATCGCCGAGAAGCGCGGTGTCACCGCCTCCACCGTCCTACTGAGCTACCACGTCGCCCGCGGCAGCACCGTCATCGCAAAGTCTGTCACTCCGGCCCGCATCAAGGCCAACCTCGAGATTGTCGAGCTCGATGAGGAGGACCTGAAGGAGCTCCGCGCCTACTCGGACGATCTGACCGCCAAGAAAGAGCTCAAGCGCTACGTTTATCCCGCGTTTGGTGTCGACTTTGGCTTCCCCGATAAGTCTTAGACGTATTGATGTTCTTTCCCAACACATAGAGTGAATGAGTAAAACCGATTGCCTTTTTCTTTGTACAATGCGATGGTGAATTTGAGTTGCGAATCAACACTAAATATACTCAATACGCACCGATCCTGATAGGCGGACATAAGCCGTCCAAATCAGCCAATCCCGCAAATTCAAAATACCAATTAATGCACAAGGGCAAGAATAAGTCAACTATCAGATTGGGCGAGACAATCAGAAACTACACCAATTATGTTGTATCTTTTCGGCCTTTCTCTATTCCCGTATTTTTGTTTGTTTGTTCATTTTAACTGTATAACCAGTATACGTCTCCTCCTCAACTTGACGTATCTACTAGAACCTTCAGCACCAGGTTGCCATTTTCATCCTTCACCTTGGCGGCCATGTCGAAAGCGTCCTTGATTGCGTTCAGCCCCTTGTAGCGGTGTGTAAACAGCTTTTCCAATGCCGGCAAGCCCTTGGGCTTGGTCGCAATCAAGTCGATCGCCTTGGGGTACGTGTTGGCGTAGCGGAAGACGCCGATGAAGTCGACCTCGCGCAATGCCGCGGCTGAAATGGGCAGCGTCTGGATAGGCGTGCCCATGCCGATAATGAGGATCTTTCCTCCCGGACGAGTGGACTGACACCCAGTCAGTACGATGCATGTTCAGAAACGTCACCGGGGCTGCGACTTACAAAAATGGCCGTCTGCATACAGGTCTCAACGCCAGTACACTCGTACGTTGCATTCAATTCGCCAACCTCTTCGCCGCCAATCTTGGCCTGCTTGACCAGTTCGGCCACATCCTTGGCGTAAGATAGCTTGTCCTCAATCGTCTGCGGGCGCAGCGCCGGCACGACGACGCCAGCATCGGCGAAGCCGTTGTCGAGCGCGAACTGAACGCGGTCCGCCTGGATGTCGGCTATGACGACGCGCTGCTGGTCAGCCTTGCTCACAGCGGCACACAGCAAGCCCACGGCGCCGGCGCCGAAGACGAGCACGGTCGAGCCGCTGGGTAGGCTTGCGCGGTCACGGGCGTGCATGGCGACGGAGAGGGGCTCGACGAGGGCGCCAAACTCGAGAGAAACGGACTCCGGGAGCCTGTACAATCGCTGTCAGTGTACGCGCGCCTTCGAGCACATGCGGGAACCATTCCCCGGGGCCTTACTTGTGGCACCACTTGGCCGGGTGGTTGACCAGCTCCTGAAGAGTTCCTTGGGCATGTGGAAAAGCCTTTGCAGAGCTGCGGAACTTCATGCCCTTGCAAATGTTATACCGCCCCACGGCGCAAAGGTCACAGGCCTCGCATGGCTGACCGACCTCAAGTGCGACACGGTCGCCCGCGGCGAGGTTGGAGACGTCAGAGGCGACGGCAGTGACGACGCCGCTGGACTCGTGGCCGAGGGTGAGCGGCTCCCTTACGAGGATGTCGCCGTTGCGAAAGTGGCTGAAGTAGTGCAGGTCGGAGCCGCAGAGCCCAGTGGCCTTAACAGCGATCTGGACTTCGCCCGGCGCAAGCGCAGGGAGTTCTCTTTGTTCCTGGGCCAGTTAGGTACTTGAAGAAAGGTTAAGCTGTCCAATGAGAGTTGGCTGACGATTTTGAGGTCCTTGGCGCCGTGAAGGACGGCAGTCTGAACTTGAATGCTTGACATGATGATTGCGCTTGTATACGGTTCTTGGGTTGGCAGAGCGCTCTGAAGAGTCGAGCACAGTGCAGAGACAATTCAAGGAGACAGAAACAGAGAGAGGGAGGGGCCGCAATGTCGTCGCGTAAGATGTGTGTGAGTGTGGGAGTGGTCCAGCGATGACGGGGAACGTGAGAAGGGGGCTGCTTGAGCGGTTGATAACATCCTTGCCCCGATTCCGAACGCCGAGGGGGGAGATACACGCACTTGGAGGCAGATGCCGAGCTAGGTATGTACTACGTATGGCTACGTACACAAGGATCCGATATCGACCGTTCGGACAAGGAGAGGATCGAGACCAGGACCAGGGCCAGGGCCAGACAGTACTGGGCTGGGACTTGAACTCACATCGGCGGAGAACATGGTGCCAAGCGGCAATGCGAGTTGACGATGGAGGAGGGACGTGTACGAACGAGTACGTCAAAGATGCCCGGCATCGTCCGGGGAACCAAGCAAAGCAAGCTTGCCGAGGCGGTATTCGGCATTCTGTCCGGCGTTCGAGACGCAGCGGGCTACGAGGGGGTCGCTGTCATCGTGAAGGGATTAAAGGGGCCAAGGAGGGGGAGGGGTAACTCGGCAGTAAAACTACCTAATCTACCTACCTGACTCACCTAAGCAGGTACTTACCGCGGTACGGTATGGAGTGAGAAATCTCTGTTCTTCATCGTGACTGACCGTCCTCTGACCCTCTTCATTTTTCGAGCTCTGAGATGCGGGGAGCGGGGAGAAGGCCATCCAATCCTACCTCCTTGCCGTCCCCCACCAATGTTGCCGCGGGGTGGGGGGCGGGGTACCGGGTCCTACCTACCTAGTCAAATAGGTACCTACTGTCTTCTCCCCTCAACTGAGTTCTAACCTAATCCCCGACGCCGAACTCTCGCCGTCTTCTTGACGCCTCCCGCGTTCTCCGATTTCGATTTCAGTGCGCATCCTGAGTGACTAGGACTGAAAGCAAGAAGAGCAGCGGCGTCAGATTCTGGTTGTTGGGGATGCACTGAACCCCTGCAGCTGAGGGGTAAAGTAGAACTTTGGTACATACCTAGGTACCTACTTAGGTACGAAGTAGTGGTGATGAGAGTGGTAGATGAAGGTAGCGAGTACGGAGTATCCGTAGGTAGGTAGTACCCCGCACCCCTCTTTCCACAGCTTGGATCGTGAGACTCCCTATCAATTGCACCGCGTGTTTTCCAGGCTCTAATCCCCTTCAGTCTCGTGGATGAGGTACGCCTTAGATCAAACCATTAACTCAAACGCGATGGATTATCTTGCGAAGCCATTGGTTTATCGGCTTGCGAAGAGAGTGCTTCTGCCCGGAATGGCCCAGCAAACCAAGTACAGCTCATCAACGCTCGGTGGGGAGGGGGAGGTTATTTGCCATATATTACCCCCACCCTCCTCACACCCGTCCGTCCCTCGACTGTGTCACGTAATTCCCTCCTGCAAATAAACACCTCATACCAAGATGGCTTCGCACTTCTTCTCCCTCGAGGGCCAGACCGCTCTCGTCACCGGTGGCACGCGCGGAATCGGCGCCGCCGTGGCAGTGGGCCTCGCTGAGGCCGGCGCCGATATCCTCCTCGTACAGCGCGACGAATCGAGCACCTCGACCAAGGAGGCCGTCGAAAAGCTCGGCCGCAAGGCCCAAATATACACGGCCGACCTTGGCTCTCAGGAGAGCGTGGCAGCTCTTGTTCCCAAGGTCCTCAAGGATGGTCACCAGATCCGCATCCTCGTCAACTGCGCCGGCATCCAGAAGCGTCACCCATGCGAGAAGTTCCCCGATGACGACTTTAATGCTGTAAGCCTGCGATGATACTACGAGATCCCAGAAACCGAATCATCGATGCTAATACACTACCTTTTCCTCCCCCAAAAAGGTCATCCAGGTTAACCTTAACTCCGTCTTCACCCTCACACGTGATGTTGGCGCGCACATGCTCAATCTTGAGCCGCACCCCATCACCGGCCGCAAGGGCAGCATCATCAACTACGCCTCGCTGCTGACCTTTCAGGGCGGATTTACGGTTCCGGCCTATGCCGCCTCCAAGGGAGCTGTCGGCCAGCTAACCAAGAGCTTCGCCAACGAGTGGACCTCCAAGGGCATCACCGTCAATGCTATCGCGCCTGGTTATATCGAGACCGAAATGAACACGGCGCTGCTCAACGACAAGGAACGCCTCGCGAGCATCAGTGCCCGCATCCCCGCCGGCCGCTGGGGCACACCCGAAGATTTCAAGGGTACTTCGGTTTACCTGGCCAGCAAGGCCAGCGGCTACGTGAGTGGGCATGTCTTGGTCGTTGACGGTGGGTGGATGGGCCGGTAGATAGTTAGTACCGCAACATTGCCATGTAGACAAGAACTTACAACAACAAAAACAACAAAAACAACGATAACGCCCCCAAAAATGAACAAACAAAGACGGGAAATCTAAGAATATCAGTTCATTTCGCGCCCAGCCTTGTTCTGGCTCTTGGTTGGGGGAGAAAAAAAAAAGAGTACATTGCATTCTATTGCTACTAGCACTACACGTAGAGCAGCCTCAAACGCTGCTTGCCATGACGCTCTCCATCCAAGGATAGACTGATGCGTTTGCCATCGGGTATCCCATATGCAACGCCCCCGAAAAGAACCTTGCCTCCTTGGGCGTGCCGTGCTCGAACAACATCATTGAATCCTCGATGGGCATCAAACCGTCCAAAGTGCCCTAAGACGCAGTCAGTTATTGGCGGCCATGCAGGTAGATACTCATACTCACGTTGATCAGCAATAGGCGGGTAGAAGGTTTGTCGATGATGCCAGCTTCAAGCAGAGAGAACTTTTTTTGTACCCCAGCCTTGTAGTCATCCACCGACTTGTAACCATGCTTCATGGCCATGGCAGGTGTCAGACTAGCGCAAGTCAGCCGAAGTGCGAGAATCAGAATTGAGCACAACTCACAGGAACGGGTATTCGTGGCCATCGGCCTTCTCGAGCCATTCGGGATCGAAGAAGTAGTGGCACCCGGCTCCCTGCGCAATCGATCCAGCCAAGCGGTCCTTGTGCGTGTGCGCAATGCGGATGGCGTAGTACCCGCCCGAGCTGAGACCCCATACTAGGACTTTGTCCGTATTGAACCGGCCGTCGGCGGCGATCCAATCGAGCACACTGCTCCACAACCTATCTGGGCTTTCCGGGTCGGCCGAGGACGCAGGGCAGTCTGCGGTCCCGGGGATCTCGACAATTACGCTTCCCCATCCGCGCGCCAGAAACTCATCGGAGCGGACAGTGTTGTCAGGGCGGTACCCATCGAGGCCCGTCATCAGGATGACAACAGGGCAAGGGTTGCTCCTGGACGCTGCGTGAGGAACCCTCACGTAGGCGGGGATAGACTGTCTATCTCCACCTTTGGCATGGGTATGCTGAATATCCACGTCATTAATGGGGCAGTCCCAGGAATGAGCTGCCCTCAGGTAGACTTCTTTTTGAGCCTCCCATGCCTTCCACTTGACCGGGCAGTTAACCTCGGGGTAAGCCGTGATATAGGGAAACCGGGCAATGCGGTAAACAGTACACGCTCGTAGGTACAAATCGCTCGCCTGCTTCTTGTTACCGGCAGAGGCGGCTTGGTCGCCTTTGGCAGTCAGCGATTCGGCGATGGGGAAAAAGGCCTCGGTGTAGGCGGGGGATGTTCCGTCATTAATATTGTTCTGGGCCGACGTTAGG